TGACATCTACAAAGATCTTTCACTTTTTCGTCACTCTGCAAGCAAACAACGAAATTATTCCGAAAACGATGAACAAAATTCTTTAGCGAGAAAACAAATAAACTGAAAAAAGCCCAACAGTTTAGATATCCGTCAAGTCCCGCGTTTCTCCAGCAGCTCATGAACTCTTAACATCCCATCAACCCCTTTTAACACACACGCAAACACACCGAGGCAACAGAGAAGTTTCTTTCTCTCCTACAATTTTTCACAAAAAAAGGAAAGAATAGAAAAGAGAAACGAGGAAAAAAATATATTTCCTCGCGGAGGAGAAGAAAATCCAGCAGTTCACCGTGAAAAACGAGCGGCGGCGAGAAAAAAAAGGGCCGCTTTCTCTTTTACGAGCCGGGCGTAGCCAAAAATATTCTTCCGAAGGGGCGGTGTTATATTTCACCTAATTCCCCCATAAAAAAGTGATTCCCCTGTCGAAGAGCGCTCCGCGTCGGTGATGGCCCGGTATCGGTCGATCAACGAATTCTCCCGAGTTTCTCGAGAAAGGAAATGTATCGCCTGTCGCCTCGTTTTCTGGTCGCTCGGCGGGCAAGATCGGTTTATCGGTTAGACGTCCGCAACGTTTGAATAGACGAAGGCGAGCTGATTTTCTAGTAATCATGAATTCTGAACAGATTGTACGCTGGCTAAATTTCAGTTATAGAAACGCGAGCGTCGTTGATTATATTGATATATTTTTAACCCCTTGCCCTACAACGAGTGAGACTCGTGGTGAAGATTTTCAACATGGTTCAACAAATATGTATATTACTCAGTTCATTCGAATTCAACGTAAATATTATTCCTCTGTAATCAACTATTATACTTAAAAGGAAATATAGGCGTAACATATGCTTAGAATTTTCCTCCTTTTCCAATAAATTATTAATGACAAAATAACCGTATCGATCAGAGTTGAGAAAGAAATCATAGGCCAAGGGGTTAATCAAACGGAAATTTGTAATTTACGAAAAGGAATGGGGAATTTGATTCTGTAATTTTAGTTTGGATTTGTGTTATGCGTATATAAAATGTTAGATTAATGTAGGATTAGCAATTAGACGGTAGACTAATTAATCTTGTGTAGAGTTGCAATGATTAAGGATTATTGCTGTTACTTGTTATTCATTATTGCATCAGATTACTATTGTTTTATTATATTACTATTTCCAGCGTTATTATTGTTAACTCCCTGCTATACGATGACTCATTAATTTAATAAGAATCAATGTTCATTGCCCACGGATCAAAGCAAAAATAATTTTGCTATTATTAATGTATTATCTTCAAATGAAACTTTTGCTTAAAGTAAAATGGACAAATTGCCGATAGTATTAGGTTAATTTATATCAATATTATTAATGTTATGATGATTTCATTATATTACTATTATTTTACTATATTACTATTACTAACATTATTATTGCTAATTTGTACTATCAATATTATTAATATTATCATGATGTTATTACATTATTATTATTTTACTATATTACTCTTACTAAAATTCTAATTACCAATTTATAATGTCAATACTATTAATATTCTAATTACTATCACTAATATCATTATTTACATTTATTCATTATTTAAACAAAAAAATCGTTGCATCTATTATTACCAAATATTTCGCTATCAGCTTTACGAACCCTCTCATTTGTTTAAGAAATTGATTTTTGCCCACAGAAAGATCGATATTTCCCCATTGCGTACCATGGGGATCATCAAGTACGCCGGCCCTCCCCATTACCTGCTAAACCCACCGTATATATTCTTTTTCTTCTGCGTCTCCTTCTTTCAGGAGGTATATCATTGTTTCCCTAATTTTCCTCGGCCAGGGAAACTTTCGCCGCGAACGGCGGACGCCGTTTCCCTCCCGCAGCCACAGAAATCTCGAAACCCGGCTCGAGGACACATGTGTGCTTTCCATGGGGACGAGGATAGAACCGGAGACTTTTTCTTTATCCGAGACAGATGTTTAGCAGAGATAATGGACTGAGAGTTGTACTGTGTTTCCGTGTGCTTGTGGACGGAGATGGTTTAAAATGGACTTCGGATTTGTTCTTCTGTTTGTTCGAACGATAAGGATGTTTCGAGAAATCTTGGGGTACATTGAGTCGTGTGTGTCATTAATCTTTCGTACTCCAATGGCTAATCTCAGTAGTCATTTGATTCAGCACGTAGACAATTATGAAATTGTATATCTAATGTGAAGCTTCGTGTAATGCAGCAGTATGTGGAATATTGAATAACAGACTTGTTATCAACTTTTGAATCTTTTGCGGTCGTGTCTGTTAAACGAAACTTTATTGTTGTGTGATATTTGTCTAAAGTTTCCAGGAAACAATACTTTTCGTTTATCATTTTAATTTAGTTCAATGTAATTTTAATATTTTAATATTTCGTTTCATTGCGTTGCTGTTGTTAGCATTTACGTATGCAATTAATACGACCACAAAGGGTTAATTTATGTACACTGTCTTTAAGTTGTTTTTAAAATATGTTGTCTGCATGTGATCAGGAAATGTTGAATATTTCTAGTGAAGTATTTTTGCAATGCAAAGGGTTAACGTTACGAGGGAATTTGAATGAAAGGTTTTGTCGTTTTTAGAGATCGATGTTAGACAATTTTTTTGCTTGATTAATTATTGAATGGATTGAAGGTTCGGTGGGAGATTTTAATCATTTATGAGATTCGTGAGGCATTAGGGTAAACATTGGACAAATTGGAAGCTGTTCGAATTTTTTCTTTTTTATTATATCCGAGGGAGAAATGAAAATTAGAAATTAATTTTATATCGTTTCGTATCTGATTAACACTAAAACTACAGTTAATTTGACATTTTGAAGTTCTATAGAAATTACAAGAGTATCTTTTGACATTTTAATTGATTTACAATTCAGTTTGCGCATTTCTCAATCAATTTCTTTAGTGATTTCTTAGAGGAACATCTATCTTTTTAATCATTGCAAAAAGAAGGAATCAGGAATCATTTATTGGGATCCATCTGATAATTTTAATGTTAAATCTGTTCATATTATTTAACTGATGCACAAACTAAATGTAACCTGTAAGTTATCTTCGAAAGAGACGTTAACTGTCATGTCTACGTTTTGTAACAAAATTTAATAAAATTATTATCTAAACAAGAAGAATGTTAAAAAAAGAACAAAAATAGAAATTGAATCGACGAACACGTGAAAATCGCGTGGGAATTAATCAATTCTATTCCCACGAGAAATTCCTAATTCTACCGTATAATTTCAAAAAATTAGCGCGGCGTTACATTTACTAAACTCTATCACCATGGATATTGTGATACTATTGTCACTGTTAATAATTCGTCGTAGGGAAAAGCGATTATACGATCGTTACAGGGGTAAAGATTAAATATTGATGCCAGGAAAACGGCACTTCGCTTCAACTTAATCTGCTAACTGGGTGACTTTACGATCTTCATATAGGCAGGGTCCACGCGATGAGTTAACTCGTCTTCCCCAGTGAACAAGAACAGTATTTATATTAAATTCAATTTAACTCTTAACTGGGGAAGCTCGTTCCAATGTATCCCAATTTACTTTCTTTAAACAGTTCAATTTTAATGATTCAGCGACTGCTTCAAAGAAAACTATCACCAGCAGAATCTCCGTAGATATAAACATATTCCTCTTTACGCACATTCACAAATTTACGTTCACAGAATTAATTATCTTTAAATTTCCCTGCAACTTTCACGAAACCTAACCTACACTCTCCTTCGACATCTGTACACTCTATAAATGTTTAAATTTTTCGCAATCAATAAACCATCTTCACCCTATTACCATACCAATTAAATTGACTAATTTCCCTAATTTGCAATTACTGATAGCATTCAAGCGTTGCAAATAACCAAGAAACTAAACAGAATATTAGCCAATGTTTCAAAAAATGTAAATACTCACAATTTTTATAACAATCATGAATCAACACTAGAACAATTAAATTCTTTCTCCATAATTATTAAAACGATAGCGTCTTGTTCGAGAAATTACTGGAAAAATTGATTCACTAATACGGAAACTAACTTATAAGTCAATTAAAATCTCAATGTGATGGTAAACTCAATGTGACTACTAGATAGTTCTAGCACTTAGTACTTCTAGCCTCAAGAAGACTAAACGATGAAAGAAAAGATAAACAAAATAAAAGACGTTCCTAAGTGCAAAGTGCCTCCCTATTCAATTATCCAAGTATTAACGTTAAAACTACGGGGTCAAACCGATCTACTTCAGAATCTTTATTTCGCAATTACTTAAATCATGAAGTTCATCGACGATTCTCAATTAAATTTCTGCACAGACACAAAACTAGGAGACCCCTCGACTTTTTTCGAAAATTCTTGTTGAAGATTTCTTTCTAATTTTTATACGAAAATTAAAAATAAGTTACTCTAACTCAGTAGTTTTACTGCAGTTTCCAACCTTTATGCTACTACGCCTCCCTAAAATTTCTTTTCCGCGTCTCCCTATCTTTTAATAGATATAATAATATAGACACATTTCAAATAATAATAACTTGATTAGAAAGTAAACATTACTTTACTGAATTTCTACTGTTACGATGTGAAGTTCATTTATTTCTAGACATTATAGTACGAACATTAATCTTTACTAAAAATTTTAATAATATACACACGTTTTAAATTATAACTTTATTACAAAATAAACATTACTTCACTGAATTTCTACTGTTACGATACGAAGTTCATTTATTTCTAGACATGATGGTACGAACATTAATTCCTTATCAAAAATTCCAGCGCCCCAACAATAATCCGCGCCCCCCAAACCGCGGTCTTACCGTGAAAAACAAGGGTAGTCCGTAACGCGTATACTCTGGAGACACCCTATCGATACTCCCCCCTAGCGATCCCGCTAAATCTCCAAAAGAACGGAATAAAAGAAGAAATGGATTGCGATCCGCTTACCGGCCGATTCGGCAGTCGCGAACAGTAGGAAGAGGCATGCTAGGGTCGTCGCCAACAGTCGAGGTGGATGCCCCATGACGTCCCCGTTGGAGGAAAGCCTTTAAGCGTAGAGAGTAAGTAGCACTGTCACACAATATCAGCTGGGACACGAAGCGGCCACGGGAGAACACCACAAAAGCACCGATGCTTTTCTTCGTGCCTGCTTTTATGCTCTCGCGGGCCCCCCCTCCTCTCCGGCGGCCGCTTCATGGCGTACCCATGGCTGCTGGACATTGGCATACGGTTCGTGTGTACTCTATTCATCACGCTGACACTGAGATAACGAGATCCCGGGGCTTGGCCGCAAAAGGAAACGGCCGACGCACAAGTCGCAGCGTTGCCGAGTCGACGTTCGACTTCCCTCAACGTTTACCTGCGACACGCGCCCCTTCTATGACCTGGCGCACGTATCCTCCATTGTCCACGAGAACTGTCTCGAAAGGATTATCGTCTAATCGATTTTCATCCTGTTATCGGTACGCAATCGGTTGAAAACTGGACCACCCTTTGCTTACCTTTTTATTAGATATACTTCGTTAGAGTTAGCTCGACGAAGTTTACATGGAACAGGTAGAAACCTTTGAACCCTTATTTGAGTGCCATCTGTGCACCAGCAGTAGATGGTACGTGACAAACTTAGTTTTTTCCTTTTCTTGATCTTCAATTTAGTATGCTCGCCCAAAACGATTTAGGGTTCGGTAGTGCAGACCATATCGTAAACGCAGAGAACACAGTTAGGAGTGTTTAGAAACAGATATCACACAGAGAATACAATTAGGAGATAAATAGAAAGAGACAGCATAGAGAGAACATAGACAATTTTGCTCGGTAGAGAAAGAATAGAGTTCGACACTAGCTAAACATAACAGAGTTCAGTTTTCCTTTACACGAGCACACATACACACGCGTTCACAAGCTCACACAAATTCTGTGCAATCATAACTTAACCAATAAATAGTATTACAATTATTACGGTCCCATAGACGGCACCTCGTGCAGATAATCAGGGTTCGACCAAACCCTAACATTCAACCCTCGAAAGTTCAAGTCACTCGTAGTTGTACAGTTTAATATTTCATTGAAAGTTTTTCATCCTGTTGGCAATGTTATGGACTAATACGTACGTAAATGAAACGAAAATAACAAGTCAAAACACATTGTAGCGAGTTCTGTGGAGACTTTGTGGTTTTCTTTGAAATCGTGTGTTTCAGAGTTAATCTACCTTATGATTTATTTCTGCGCTAAAGTCGATACAATCACTTTGTGATTAACACGTTCCATCGCACGGAAATTTCGGTCATATTTATGAACTGTGATGATTTTTTAAATGAAATATTATGTTATATTCAAGCTTTTGGTAATTTTTATACATTTTGGTATTGTTTCTTTGTTTTCGGTGCTTTGTAACGTAATAACCTCTACCATTAACTCTTTACCCTATAATATCACATAGAATTTAACAAACATGAATATTATTCAATCATATTATTCCTCTGTCATCGATGATTACACCGTAGAGCAAACGTTACGTAGAACAAGACTTGAATTTTCTCTTATTTCCAATAAATCATCAATAATAAAGTAGTTAGATCGATCACGATTCAGAAAGAAGTCATAGGACAAGGGGTTAAAAATGTTTTCTTACAAAAATTGGCATGTGGCACTGAACGTAGTTAATGATTTATTAAGAACAAAACTTATAGGCATATTCTATAAGAATCCTTGCTCTAAAGTGTAATAATTGATAACAGAAGAACATTATTTTATTTGAATTCAAAATGATCGAGCAAATATCCATGCTAGTTCAATTCTGTTTGAAATCTGCACCACGTGTCTGACACGTCATTGTAAGGCAAGGGGTAAATAAAAGGAAATTTGTTGCGCAGGAAGTCTCGTGGCAACGACGTAAATTTCGAACTTATCTAAGAGTTATGGTGAGTACCGCGTCAAGACTTTAGAAAATCGAAAAGTGTCGGTGCAACACGGAGCACGTTTATTGGATCGTTGCGGAAATTTCTTTGGAAATTTTTACGATAAAACATCATGACGGTCGTTTCAAAAATATCGTTTCGAGTATGGTCTAACCAATTTTCATCCTGTCTTGTATCATTTTTGAGTGCTACGATGTTTTCGAAGGGTGAAAGATTTGGATTCTGAGCAGAGAAAATTAAGATAGAAGGTTTTTTTCTTGAATTGTATCGTATTGTATCGTACGTTAATTTTCGTTGTATTTTTATTGTATAGTATCTGGAGCAATAAACTTTGTTGCCTATACGTCAAGGTTTGTCGCGGTCTGCGTATTATATTGAATTAGCAAGTAATTTCGGTCTTTTAGTGTGAAATATAACTCAATTTTTTTTATACAATTGTGATTACACAATTATATGTTATACAATATTATATATTATTACAATTATACGATTCGATTCAACTATGGCTCTCATTTTGTCATTATCAACTTCAGAAGGTCGACCAAAATTTTTTAAACCAATTCTGACGCGTGCATGGTGTTACATGTACATGGTGTTATAGTACATTGTTTCAACAGTAGTAACTATATACTTCTATCTATAAGAAAGAAAATAATTAAAATCGAATTTTTCTTATTGTCTTAATTGGATAACAAAATATTTTGTTAAATGAAGTATATAATATTTAATATAATAGAGAGTGTTGTTATATTAAATATTATATATATTATTATTATATTAAATATTATATACTTTATTTTTATATTAAATCTTATATATCCTATTATTATTACATTAAATATTATATACTTTATTTTTATATTAAATATTATATATCCTATTATTATTACATTAAAATATTCGATTATTTCCTTTTCTAATTAACATATTGTTGACCGGTCACGAATTAACTCGTATCTCCACTCGCATCAGCCATTTCAATTTTCCAAACATAGGACAATATAAGATATCGCAAAAACAAAATATTCAAAGTTATATAACAGGTACGTCCAAAGTTTCGTTTCAATTCATTATATACAAGATAAATAAAGTATACTGAAGTTTTATTTAGATCGTTTCACTTTTGTATTTAACACTAGGTTTAACGGAACGCGTTTGACGCACATTGAATTGTATAAACAATATTTAGTAAATGTTTCGACGGGTTAGAATATGTATTATAATTATCCATTTTTAAATCTATAATTTTCAAAATCTAAATAAACGAATATCAACTTTTCTAACAATAGAATAAACTGCACAATGAATTCCCGCGAACCTAGTGTTTATTACGGAACCGGTGGCATTAACCCCTTGCCCTATGATTTATTTTTCAACTATGATTGACACAATTACTTTGCCATTAATAATTTACTGAAAAAGAGAGAAATTTTATGTATATTCTATGCCTATGTTTGCTTTAAATTACAATAATTGATAACAAAAGAATAATATTTTATTTGTATTCACAATAATTGACTAATATTTATATTTGTTAAGTTTTGTTTAAAACCGTCACCACGAATCACCAATAATGTGTTAAGCAATCAACACTATTAACACTAGAACTATCGAGAATTTAATCCGATTGATATGTAATCTCTATAAAAATTGTAACAATAGATTATTTTCAGTTTCTCTGGATATTCATCATAATATTCAAGTGAAACTATTTATTTCCAAAATCAGTTCAAATATTCAATGCTTTTAAGATATTAATAACTGCGAAACAAACAAATTAAAACCAGTCATTTTGACTGGTACGGTAGTTCTAGTGTTAACTTCACATATCTCAAATTGTTATTTTTCAAATGAAAATCATTTTGTATAACATGGTCTACTTAGCAACACGTTGATAACCTTCAAATCTTGCGAATAGTCGAATTGTTGGGTTTTGTCTGTGCACCGGCGTGGATGGGTCAATGTTTACCCTTTGTGACGGCCACCCCGCGAAGCGGCGATCGGTCATCGGTCCGTTCGTCATCGGCTTTTGTTCGTCGCCGTTCGGTTGTCGCATTGTGACACGATTGGCCTTCGATTGATAACGGAGCGCCGATCGGATCGGATCGGGTGCTGAATGTCACGGGTGATTTGCGTGTAGGTCTTTAAGTGGGGCGGACGCTTTCTCGGTGTACGATTGATTACCGTTGAAACGATGTTGATACTTTGTTTCAGCACGGTTTTATGCGTTGATTGGCGAAGTAGAGAGATTTTTCAGATACATTTTGCATTTTTTATTTTGTTTTAGAAAGATTCTTCTTTCATGTTTGTAACGATTGAAGTTTGATACGTTGCTTGGTGGAGTAGAGACATTTTTCAGATTTATTTTGGGTTTCTTATTTTGCTTCGGAAAGATTCTTCTTTCGTTTGTGTAACGATTGAAGTTGAACTTCGTTTCGTTTGTTTTAGTAGGTGTGTTTTGATATACATCGGAACGAGGGAAATGAAGTTTGAATGTATACAGTAAATGTTGATTGCTAAATTTAATTAGAAAAGTATCTTTATATTTTATTTGGATCGTATATTTGTAAGAGTAGATTTCTTAGTATTGCAATTGTTATCGAGCAATTAGGAAGGATAATCAATGGCCACGAGATTATAACGAAATATATTGCATTTCATTTTTATCTGTGTTATGCGTAATGGATTGGAAAAAAGGAAACGATTGGAAAAGTAACGTAGACTGGTAGATGTTTTGAGAAATATTGAAAAGCAATGTATTTTTAGTGGTCCCGTAGATTATTTCATCTTTGATAAAAATCCTGACGCTCGTGAATGCGCATATGCGCAAAGGCAAAAATCAGTAAATTTGCGAACGTCAGCTATGAAATCCGTGGCTGGAAAATGGTGGCACAATCTCCATGGTCATTTCCAAAGCGGCAATCTCACTGCAGTGGTTGAATAATAACATAAAAGCATTAAGTAACTTGTACATTTATGAAACAATGCGAAATGGAACGATTGAGCCTTTGAAAATCGGAATGATAAAAGTTCAGAAACACTGTAGATCAAATAACAACAGTTTCAAATGGAACATAATTACTATACAACGATCAAATCACAGGATTAAATATTGTTATTATTTGATCACAGATCAAATAACGAGAATTTCAAATGGAACATAATTACTATACAATGAATTATAAAACATTTGAAAAACATTGCTCACATTTATGAAATTTTGAATATTGTTTTCA